AAGATAAGCTATTTTTTCTCCTACCTAAAGCCTATCTTTTCATTCATTAACTAAATCTTACCCCCTCTTGTCTACTCAAGGACACTGATTCAACAATTCTTCCCTCTCTCTTCTACATTATTATTATTGTTATTATTATTAGATCATTCCTATCAGCATACAAGCATGTATTTATTTCTCTAATTATTAAAAAAAATTCACTTCCCTTGATCCATTCACAAGCTACCACCCCATTTTTTTCTTTCTCTTTGTAGCAGTTCTCAAAATCAGTATCTATCCTTGCTGTTATAAAATCTACTCCTCTCATTCTCTTTTAATCCCATGTAAATCAGACTTTTTAGCCTTTTTTTCACCACTTACATACAAACTGTTACATTCAGCGATCAATTCTCAGTTTTTATGTAACTTGAACCATCAGCAATTCACACATTTAATCCCCTTTCCTCATGGATATAATTTTTTTATATAGCTTCCAGGATACCATACCTTCTTTGTTTTATTCCTACCTATCTTGTGCTGTTTTTACTCTCCCTTGCTGATTTTCCCTCTTTTCCCAACCTCTTACATGTGGAATGTTCTAGAAGTTATTCCTTCGTTCTCTTATTTTCTCTGTCTACTCCCTTGACAATCCATCCACCTAATGGCTTTGATTATAACCCACATGTAAATTATACCCCAATTACATATCCATTCCAGAACTCTCTCTTGAACTTTAGATACCTACAGTCAAATTTTCACTTGGACTTTTAACTTGGATGACTAATAGATATTGCCCATTTAAAATGCTCAAAACTTAACTCATGATTTCACCACTATACTCCCAAACCTGCTATATCCATAGCCTTTCTAGCTTGGTTTGATGGCAATTCTATCCTACTTGCTCATGTCATCTTAATCATTCTCAAATCTTCTGTTTCTCTCATATTACACATCTAATCCCTATAGAAATCCTGTTAAATCCTGTCTTACTATATCCAGAATCTGACTTTTCTCATCATCCCTATTATTCCCACCCTGAACCAAGCCACCATCATCATTTCATGCCTAGATTACTACAATAGCCTCCTAACTAGTTTCCCTGCTTCAGCTCTTGTCCCTTTATATCTGTTCAAAACACAGTTGTTAGAGTGATACTACTATGCGTAAGTCAGATGTCACC